ATATTCAAAGGCATTACCATCCAAGTTGAATGGTTATGCTGATAATATTCAAAGGCATTACCATCCAAGTTGAATGGTTATGCTGATAATATACAAAGGCATTACCATCCAAGTTGAATGGTTATGCTGATAATATTCAAAGGCATTACCATCCAAGTTGAATGGTTATGCTGATAATATTCAAACGCATTACCATCCAACTTGAATGGTTATGCTGATAATATTCAAAGACATTACCATCCAAGTTGAATGGTTATGCTGATAATATTTAAAGGCATTGCCATCCAAGTTGAATGGTTATGCTGATAATATTCAAACGCATTACCATCCAACTTGAATGGTTATGCTGATAATATTCAAACGCATTACCATCCAAGTTGAATGGTTATGCTGATAATATTCAAAGGCATTACCATCCAAGTTGAATGGTTATGCTGATAATATTCAAACGCATTACCATCCAACTTGAATGGTTATGCTGATAATATTCAAAGACATTACCATCCAAGTTGAATGGTTATGCTGATAATATTTAAAGGCATTGCCATCCAAGTTGAATGGTTATGCTGATAATATTCAAACGCATTACCATCCAACTTGAATGGTTATGCTGATAATATTCAAACGCATTACCATCCAAGTTGAATGGTTATGCTGATAATATTCAAAGGCATTACCATCCAAGTTGAATGGTTATGCTGATAATATTCAAACGCATTACCATCCAACTTGAATGGTTATGCTGATAATATTCAAAGACATTACCATCCAAGTTGAATGGTTATGCTGATAATATTTAAAGGCATTGCCATCCAAGTTGAATGGTTATGCTGATAATATTCAAACGCATTACCATCCAACTTGAATGGTTATGCTGATAATATTCAAACGCATTACCATCCAAGTTGAATGGTTATGCTGATAATATTCAAAGGCATTACCATCCAAGTTGAATGGTTATGCTGATAATATTCAAACGCATTACCATCCAAGTTGAATGGTTGATATGCTGGTAATATTCAAAGGCATTACCATCCAAGTTGAATGGTTATGCCGATTGTATATTTTGGTAAGCGAAGAGCCACTCTGCGGATGTATTGCCAATAAGTAGATAAATAAATATTTATATTATTATTTTTTCGTTTTCTTTTGTTTTTCAGATATTGATAATTGTGATCCAAAATATCACCATTTTGATGAAGGTATCGGCCTGACGGAAAATGGTCTGTGTGGCTTCAACGGCCGTTGTGTGGACTATGTTGGTTTTTATAAATGTGTTTGTTCCGAGGGCTGGTCTGGACAGAGCTGTCAGACAGGTTAGTTCACACACACGCAAAAATCTCGCATTTTGTAACAGATCTGCCAACAGACCGTCAACAAGTTGTGTTCGCACTGCTTGTTCCAAGTTGCCAACAAGTTTGTAACAATCCTGATGATGATATCAGATTTGTTACAAGCTTGTTCCAACAAGTCCGATACAGTCAACTTGTCAACAGGATGTGTTCTCAGGATGACTGCTTGTTCCCAGCTTGTTGGCAAGTTGTCAACGGCTTGTTAGCAACTTGCTCTACAAGGTTGCTGAGCTCAACAACAGACTTGCTACAAGTTGTTCCAACAACTTGTTATCGTGTTATTGCGAACACATCTTGTTGACAAGTTGTGACATTTTTACGTGTGTAAACTGGGCCGGGCTTTGCCTATTTTGGACTGGGAATATCGAATTGAAACCTGTTCCTCATAGGACTCAGTATGAAATATTCATAATTTTTCTTCAGATGTAAATGAATGTGCAAGCCGTCCGTGTCGAAACAATGGAGAATGTCGAGAGCTCATTACGGGGCCTGGGTACGACTGTCTTTGTCCCAGTGGATTCACGGGAAAAAACTGCGAGAAAAGTAAGATAACTTATTTGCTTTTTGTTAATTTACATGCACGTGTAAAAACGCACAAGTTGTAACAAACAGTTGTCGACAAGCTTGCTACAAGGTTGTCGACCTTAACAGAGTTGTTGCAAGTTGTCCCAACAACTTGTTATCGTCCGGCAATTCAACAATCTGTCAACAAGTTGTGAGTGACAACCTTGTAGCAACTTGATAAAATAACAGCATTGTTATACAACTTGCTGACAAGCTCGCTACAAGCCTGTTGCGAACACATCTTGTTGACAACACATCTTGTATATCATTATAACAATATTGTTACAACCTTGTATCGTCAACCTTGTAACATTCTTGTTATATCATGACTGTATCTAACTTGTTATAACAACCTTGTAACATTTTTGTTATATCATGACTGTATCGGACCTTTTGGAACAACCCTGTAACAAATCTGATAATGCCATAAAGCTTGTTACAAGTTGTTAACAGCTTGTTCCAAACTTGTTGACAACTTGGGACAACCAGTGCGAACACAACTTGTTGACGGCTTGTTGACAGACTTGTTACAAGATGTGAGATTTTGCGTGTGTAGTAATAGGCAATTCCAGCTTTTAATTTATGCACGCATGGGAGGATGGGAAGTAAGGTATCATGAGGTTGTTTATGCAGTTTTTATTGAAATTTTTCAGCATAATCTGCAACAAGATAATCATGTTTACACGGCCGCCATTTTTATTTTTTCAGGATAATCAGCACTATAATACCACGGATGATACCTTACTTCCCATCACCCCCCCAGCGCGCATGAATTGCCTGTATATTTAGGTTTCGCTAGCAAATTCGCCCCAACCTTGCCAATAGCATTATATTTTGTACGCCGTTTGAATCACTGCCGTTCTTGCATCGCGTCCCATCTACATATTTTGTAGCAAGTCTGTCGACAAGCCGTCAACAAGTTGTGTTCGCACTGCTTGTCCCAAGTCGTCAACAAGTTTGGAACAAGCTGTTAACAATTTGTAACAACCTTGTTGATATAATCAGACTTGTTGCAAGGTTGTTCCAACAAGTCCGATACAGTCATGATATAACAATATTGTTACAACCTTGTGTCGTCAACCTTGTAACATTCTTGTTATATCATGACTGTATCAGACTTGTCAGAACAACCTTGTAACAAGTCTGATAATGCCACTAAGCTTGTTACAATTTGTTAACAACTAGCTTGTTCCAAACTTGTTCCAACAACTGCATGAGAACAAGCAGTTCAAACACAACTTGTTGATTTTAACAACTTCTTTCCAAACTTGTAACTACTTGTGCTTTTTCATCCATGTACATTACGCTGTTTGAAACGGGAGTAACTATTGAAGTTGACAACAAAACAACCAATCTAACAAATTGTAATTTAATTTTACCTCGTTTTCTCGCAGTGATCAACCTGTGTGAAACGAATCCATGTTGTGCAGGAGCTGTATGTAGTTATGGACTTAATTCATTCTCCTGTCAATGTAACAATGGACGAAAAGGTCCTTCCTGTTGTTCAAGTAAGTGTTGTACATTGTTACGTTTTTTTTCTTTGGCATAAAGTTTGGAAGTCCAACATCTGTAATGATGGTGTTAATGATGAAATTGGTGGTAACTGTTATGCTGATGGTGATAATGATGGTGGCACTGTGGTATGAATGTGTCAGATGGTGAAATTGATTTCATCTGGCGATTGTCGTGATGATGGTGGTGCTATTAATGGGTCTAATGGTGAAGCTGATATCATCTGATAATTCTGGTGATGATGGGCATGGTGGTATTATAGTTGGCGGGGAGATTAGGACGGGGGCCGTTATCCCGCCCGCGTGCCCTATCCCCCAAAGCTGGCCGCGATCGTGGTGGTGATGAAAGTGGTTATTATGGTGATAAGTGATACATTTTAATAGAGATGGTGGCGATGTAGCATTAATCATGATGGTATTTTACAGATCACATGCAATAGTTTAAATACTATATGTGTTTTAGATAGTACATGGTGTTCTTACGACATGTTTAACGTATCAACATGCCACGATCATGGGAATTGTTCAAGTTTGCAAAACCAGTTCAACTGCTCTTGCGAGAGAGGTTGGAGAGGATCTCGTTGTGAGATAGGTAAGATCTGGAGTGACGACGAGTTGAATTGAATTGATTTTATTTTACCACGCGATACACAAGATTATGGAAATATATAGTGGCGAGATGACCTCGAAAAAAACGTTGAGCGTTTGAGTCGAAGTCACCTCATTATATAATAATACTAGTTTATTAGGCTTATATACTATTAGTATAATTACATAGGTGATTATTGAAAATTCCCCACGCTGATTGGTTGTCTTTAACGCGATAATCACCTCGCCTTCGGCGAATAATTGTTAAATATTAGGTATTACACAAAATTCAATTTAGAAAGAAAAATGGGGTTTTATATATATGGGGTTTTAGACATTATTTTCTACAAGAAATTTCATCATTTTTTTCTTTTAAAAGTAAATGAGCTAACCGAGTTTCTTATGTCAGACGATAGTGAATTCCACTATATTATTGGGCCAAGATAAAGTATAGTAATTTTTTTTAGATTAGTACGATGAGGCCGGAAGGGGAGGGGGGTACCGAAGAAAAATTTTGCTAATCCAACAAGTAAAAAGTCAAAAACATGTTGACCAAGCATAAATATAAATTAAAAATAAATACCCACCCCTGGCTGAGGGATACCATTCAGTTGTCACACATGTCCTTCAAGTTTGATAACTGCTTGTGCAATTTTGTCCAGTCTAAAGTTGTTGTCTGCACTTGTACGTCTGACAAACCGGAAAATGATTAGGATATAGTGACTTTGTTTCTCATTCACCCAACCTTAGGCCTCGTTTCTATGAGACCGGTACGAAATCAAACCAGGACCACTTCGTTTCGGTCATAGTATTATTTATAATAGATGTTTACATGAGACCTGGACGAAAATAACTCAGACCGGTCTCAAGTCATTCCGCCTGCTGGACCGAACCGACTGACTTCAGACCGGCATGAATTCAGATGTGAACACAAATACATTTCAGACCGGTCTCGGCTGGAACCTTGCCATTGGAACAACGCATGCTAACAAAAGCCATCTGAGAAAGAAAATTGAATTGCCTGGCAAGGGGAATAAATTGAAAATTTTGTGATTTTTGTACCGGTCTTATGTAAACACGTTGACAATTTCAACTTTCATTCCGGTTTGACTTCGTCCCGATCTCATGCAAACGGAGCCTTAATCTCACTCAAAATTTTGTTTACCCACCCCTTTTCTCTTCGTTGCCACCCTCCCCTCCCCCTGCCCCATAAATAATGACCGCTCCCTTAAAGGTTTTCTCTTCGAAATGTATTTCTTGAATTTAAACGTCTTTGTGTTGTTATTTATTAGATATAAATGAATGTGACAGTCAGCCGTGTGTTCATGGAGAATGCAGAAATACTCGAGGATCGTACGAATGTATTTGCGAGGACGATTACAACGACACGAACTGTGACCAAAGTAAGTCCACGCTTCGTTTACGCATGACGTAATGACCTGTGGGACTGTTCATCTCGCGAGCGCACACAGGTTTTTCGAATAAGTTGAAGGCACAGTTCAGCCTTTTGAATGATGGTTTTTAAGGCGCAGTTCAGCTCTTTTATTTGAAAAAACTAACTAGGAAAATCAATTATACATAATTCAAGATCAGTAAACTCAATGTTTTTAACAATAAAAAGTTTTAAAATGTTTAAAACATCAAGTTTTCCGATCTTGAATTATACTTAATTGATTTTCCTGGTTAGTTTTTTCAATTAAAAGGTCTAAAATTCGCCTGAAAAACCGTCATTCAAAAGACTTGCATTTAAGTCTGGTTTCCATATCAGGGTCGTAATGCCTAATGGTCGTAAAAATAGAGTCACGATCTTTCTCAACGGCCAGTTTATAATAGTTTATACCTGTAAACCACATATAAATCATGAGTATTCTCTAGTTGATGTTTGTGATGTTACTCTGAGTGTATATCCACACCGGGTGAGCTTGAAAAATATGCCCGGTCACGGTGGGAATCGAACCTACGACCTTTGGAACACTACCCCAATGCTCTGCCAACTGAGCTACGCGGTCAGGACGGTTCGATCGAGTAAGTGATATTTCGGAACAGCATCTAGTTCCTTCGATACCAATGTAATCTAGTAATATGATTTTTTCTGTGTTGGTGTTGTGTACTCAGGTGAATATGATGTTTGTGATGTTACTCTGGGTGTATATCCACACCGGGTGAGCTTGAAAACTATGCCCGGTCACGGTGGGAATCGAACTTACGACCTTTGAAACACTAGCCCAATGCTCTGCCAACTGAGTTATAGTCACTCCGCGTATTTTCAGTTCTAAAATGTTGTATTTCGGCTGATGAGAAAGATCGTGACTCAATCTTTACGACTGTTACGACCATACGGAAACCAGAATCATCAAACCTTTATTTTGTTAATCTAGAGCTTGAAATGTCCCCTGTAGAATTACGTGACTGTTTACTCTCATGCAACTCTTATCCTCGTTTCATAAACTTAGTCTCGGAATAAACTTAGTCTCATGTCTGTGGGGGAAGCCTCGCAGTAGCTCGGAAGGTCGTCTCCAATTGGATGGGGGCTTTCTAAAGAACGAAGCAATTCATTGTTATAAACACAAAAGCCATTGTCAAATTGAGCCAATGAAAATCACTCTTCCGAGCTACTGCGAGCCTACCCGTCTGTGGAACAGCCTAGCGGCCTGTCTCATTGAAATGTGAATTACTCAATGTTCTTTGAACTCTTAATATACTAAATCATTTTCACTCTTTTTTCAGAAATAGATGATTGTGAAGGAGTATTCTGGTATGTGCAAACAATTTTGATTGCCTATACAATATTTTAATTAAGTATTTAACTATAGATGGCATTCAATTCAAAGATTGTATAACTCGGCGATTATACAATGGGCTAATTATGTATTCAGTTTACCCTTCCCGGCAAAACAAGACAAATTTTTGCTAATTCCGCATCCAAATTTAACGAAATTCAATCCATTTATTTGTCCTTTATCGTTTAATAAGGAACCGTATGCCCTCTTTGAAGAGTGTTGTTTAAACGTCAAGTAACATCAAACTAACATTGTGTTGTTTTTTTTCTGTGTCACTGAAGTGAAAACGATGGACAGTGCGTGGATGGCGTTCACAACTATACTTGTGAGTGCGCACAGGGATTGATGGGAAGACATTGCGAGATAGGTGAGAACAACCGTAAATCTATTACACTTGGTTTTTCCTCGAAGATACAATCTTTAAACGGTCTGGTGCCAGTCTATGCAGGGACGGAACTACTGCTTTTGGGACGTTTGTTGGTCGGAAAAAACGAACCCACACTCCGTCGCCAGCATTTTCCGAAAAATGTTTGCTTTCCGGAAAAATCTTTTTGAGGGGGCCCCGAAAGGAGGGGTCTCATATTTTTTAATTCATCCCCCCCCCCCCAAACCAAATATCGCTCGGGACGGCCCTAAGTCTATATAGGTACTGCCAATATTCAACAATAAGAAAACTGGATTAATAGGGATCAGTGTTGCAACGAGTCGAGTCATTGACTTGGACTCGAGTCGCAATTTTCTGCGACTCAAGTCGAATACGAAAGATGACTCTACTCGAGTCAACACACTAGGACTCGATTTGTTGATTTCAGCCGTAAATGACTCGATCGAGTCAACTTAGCTACAACTTGTTCAGGATAAATTCATCAAACATATTGTGGTTGAATAGGTTGGGAAGACGGTCCTGAAAGGTCTGAGGAAACAAAAAGTAATTCTCGATGCAGATAGGCACGTTTCCTCTTGCAGGAAAATTTTTAAGGCATTTTTGTTCACCATGCAATTCGTGTAGCCATTGGCTCGGCTCGGCCACATAGTGGAATGACTCGACTCGACACTTGTTAATTTCGAGTCAACTTGGCTACAACCACTGATCTAGAGTGGCTACAACTTGTTGAGGATAAATTCATCAAAAATATTGTGGTTGAATAGGTTGGGGGCAGTCGTGAAAGGCCTTACGAAATAAAAAGTAACTTTCGATGAAGATGAAAATAATGTAAAGATAAAAATAATCTGCACAGGAAAAAACGCCTGCCCTGTAACAATGTTGTTGAAAACAGGCCTGAACAATATTTTGCTGCCCATATTGTTCCTGACTGTTAACAATATTGTTCAGGATTGTTCAGCCTGAACAATGCCTGTTTTGCAGTGTAGGCTAAGCATGTAATTTGTAGTTGGGTTACTTAGGTAACCTTATAATACTTGATATGAAGCGCATTTGGTCATATCGTAATCCATGTTTCAAAGTCTAAATCTTCTTCTAAACCATGTTTTTCATTTAAGACATCGATGAATGTTCTGGAAAGACAGAATGTAGCAGAACACGCGGCGTTTGTATTAATACTCATGGTGGATATCATTGTGGTTGTCGTACTGGTTACGAAGATCCGCCAAGCTGTGAAGAAAGTACGTCGTATTTTTTATGAGGGACGTTCACCATGTAGGATGGCAAAGCTATTATAGTTCAAATGGGCCATTTCATATATTTATTATCAGCAACCTGTCGAGGATACTCATTAATTATTTAAAAGTATACCCACTATTTAAAAGTATACCTTTGCAAACATTTCAAGAAACTCTACCCACTGATCTGAATAAGAACTGGATAAAGCACCCTATTGAATTCTGTAACCCGATTATCAAGCCAGTATATTTTACTGAGATGAGATTTATAAATCAGTCAAATTCATGGCCAGTCTAATCGTTTGCTGTTCAGTTAGAATATAAAGCAAATATCTTCGCCTATGTGACCTATAGCTTCCAAACCCTCTTCGAAATAGCAGTTTTAGAACGTTTTAGAACACCACATAAAGAGCCTTATGGCGGCCATTTTTGATGGCCCCAATTTGTTATTCACTGGCAAAGTTAGGAAAAAAGAGAGGCTACTGATGACAAATTCTTATGTAGGCAATATTTGTCCTTTCCCACTAGTGACTAGAAACGTAAAGGAAGAGATAAACATGCCCACAACACCATCATTATCAGACTTGTTACAAGGTTGTTCTAACAAGTCTGATACAGTCGTGATATAACAAGAATGTTACAAGGTTGACAACACAAAGTTATAACAGTATTGTTATATCATGACTGTATCGGACTTGTTGGAATAACCTTGCAACAAGTCTGATAATATCAACAGGGTTGTTACAAGTTGTTAGCAGCTTGTTCCAAACTTGTTGACAACTTGTGACAAACTGAAGCAGTGCAAACACAACTAGGTAACGACTTGTTCGCAAACCTGCCACAAGATGTGAGATTTTGCGTGTGTAAAAGTTGTGAGTGACAACCTTGTAGTAACTACCCTGGGTGCCAGAGGTTCTTCCACGCTCGTAGGGGGGATAATGAGGGATCCTCGTGTATCCCTCATTATCCCCCCTACGAGTGTGGAAGAACCTCTGGCACCCAGGGTATGTAGTAACTTGATAAAATGACAGCATTGTTACAACTTGCTCGATAAGATGCTTGTGTGATGTTACTCTGAGTGTATATCCACACCAGGCAGGCTTGAAAAATATGCCTGGCCACAGTGGGATTAACATCACACAAGCAATTGTTACAACTTGTTGACAAACTTGCTACAAAGTACAAGCCTGTTGCGAACCACAAGTTGTCAGATTTTTATGTGTGTAGTTCACTTCGTAATCCATTTTTCTTTGTGTAATTCAGGGACAAATTACTGCAAATCATTTCCATGCGGAAACAATGGAATTTGCCAGCACGAATATCGTTACGATCATGAAACGGTTGTCGTCAGTAATTACTCGTGTGCCTGTTTCGTTGGCTGGGAAGGTCGAAACTGTCGGCATCGTGAGATAGGTATGTGCAATTATCCAAGCATCTCGCTCGACAGAACTGAATGATACGATGCGAACTTAAATCATTGTTGTTTGTTAACGAATAATAAATGAAAGCAATGAACAATTTGCCAACTTGTTCATCTAAAGATTTTATTTTAAGAGCAGTATGCGTGCATAATTCTTCCTATATCCATTGTATAATTAATATTCTTCCTTTTTCCATGAGTCCGACAAACACACAACACAGGGACAAGCAGGGGCGAAACTAGCCCCTTTTAATTGGGGGGGTGTCTGGTAGAATTGCCCTGCGAAAGCCGATGATGCCCTGCAGCAATTTTTTTGTTTGGCCACTATTTCTCCCAAAACTGTTGGCTAGCGGGGTGGGGTGGGGGGAGTTCGAAAAATTTTTTCCGGACATTTGAAAACGGGGCGAAAAAATTTTTCTGGACATAAACCAACTAAATTAAGGGTGAAAAATTTTTTTCGGACAAATTCCTGTTAAAACATGCACGAAACCCTTATTTTTTTACCAATATATCTGTAAAATTTAGGTCTAAAAATTCTATTCAATTCCCTCTGGAAGCCCCGGGAAGCTACTCAATAACTCTACATTCTATCATTTAAAATCTTTCATTGCCCTGCCAATCCAGATGATTTGTATTTTGTCACACCCCCCACACCCTCCCTAAAGTTTCGTCCCTGGGGAGAAGGCAAGCAGCTAGGACGTAGAGAAGCATCTGACGTGGGGGGGGATCGGAGGATTTTACCTGAAAATTGAAACTTCAATGTTAAAAATTTACTTGATATGTAATAATTATAATAAAGCTTTTGTGACTGATTTCCACTGTCATAATAAGTTTCGGGGGGAAAGGGGTCTGGGGTTCTTCCCCCAGAAAAGTTTACATTTTTGAAGCTATAGCACCGCTTTTCAGGCATCTTCTGAAGCCAATTGGATAAAAATTGACTGTACAATTAACAAATATAAAACATTTTCCGTGTTGATATACAGTTATATCAACACGAGTGGAATTGGGAAAACGAGAAATTGTGGGGCGGAGTGTTCTCGTACAATTTCGAGTTTTCCCAACTTCCACGAGTGTTGATATAACTATATACCAATACGGAAAAAATGTTTTATATTTTTTTATAATATATAGCAATGTCAAATCCCGAAGTATAAGAAAAATTTCCGTGTTTACAAGCGGCGGAAAATTTCCCGTGTTGACATTGAGTTATATCAACACGACTCTTAGCCAATCAGCGTTCAGAATTTACAAATGCTATATTATAAAAATGTTTATCATTTCACAAAAATAATGACTTTGTTACGCAAATTTTACCTGAAAATGTCAAAATTTTGTCTTGAATTTTACCTGATTTTCGCCTGAGTTTCACAGTTCGGGGGGGGGGGTGTTACACCCCCACACACACCCAGTTTCTACGTCCCTGACGGCAAGTAAAGGACCTAAGTGATACTATACTCTCGGTATTTTTAAAGCACCAGAGTAGTTGTTTGAATAAATTATACTGCAAGATAATGCGTTTTTGACCAATGGGATTGTAGAATTGATCAGCCGATCTAAGGGCCATTTTCGCCGATCTTTAGCTGACTCTATTAGTTTGAACTAATAGCAATAATAACACAAAAATTGTTGATTGTTTTCCTAATAATTTTCTCTCAACCTATCTAGAAATTGAGACGCCTGGGCCTGCTGAATGTAAGTGCCATGTTCTCTATCTTGTTCAAATACACGGGTAGTATTTTTATTTTGCAAAAATATCTAATGTTTTATTACATTTTTCTTTTCTATATAGTACATAGTTCCAAGGAAAAAGGTGAGATGGAACAAGTTGTTATCATCTTGTATTGTAACAAGGTTGATGAGGCCAACAGACTCGCAACACGTTGCTTCAACATGCAAGTCTGATATCGTCTGCACGTAACAAGTTGTGTTAACAAGTTCATGACAACAAGCTCGTAGCAACCTGTTACGCACATCCTGACAGTATTAGTCTTTTTAATAAAACACAAAACAACATATAGACACTCCGAAAATTGTAAACATTTTCATTCTTTAGACTTTAGTTTTTAAGTCGTCTTCAGATGTATTTTGAAAAGCCAACTATTTATAAGCTAGATGCTTCTTTAACTTAACGACTTAAATTAATAGTCGAGACGTTAAAGAATGAAAATGTTTACAATTTTAATTTCGGAGTGTACATTGTTTTGTGTTTTATTAAAATACTCTATGGCAACCGCGATTTTTGTATTATAGTTTTGTTGGAACAACATGTCGCAAATCTGTTCATCGTTGTCTGAGTCTCAAAGTCTCAAGCATAATTTCGGACGTATTCTACTTATGCTAACAATCTGTTAACTGTCTGTTGTTTTTCTTTTAAAAGCATCTCGACTTCCGTTGACTATCGGGATATCATTTGCGGCTCTCGTGCTCTGCGCGGTTGTCATGGTAATTGTTCTTTACAAGAAGAGACAGCGCCACTTCCAGCGAATGCAGGAGACTGAGGGTAATTGTACTTGTTGACATAGAATAACTGATGTACGGAGAATAAATCTACTGATCTTATAAGCTCTGATCAAATGATGCTGTTTATATGATCGCTGGTACTTATACACTCCGAGCTACCCTGGGAGAGGCAAAATTATATTCATTTAAACACAAGTGTTTATTTGGAAAGTTTTCAACTCGTCTCGGCTAGTAGGGTCACCCTTGTGGTAGGGACACCCCGTTTACGAGACAGGGTTACCCTTGTAGGAGGGACAACGTTTGTCCATGTAAACAGTTTGCGTTGATTTGCTTCGTCCTCTAGGGGCGACTTTTTAGACCTATACGAATGCTCAATAGAAACTTTTTATTAAGAACAACATAAACGAACCAAAAACGAAGTATTTCGAACAAAAAACTGAGTATTCCCCCTTTCTGAATGTTATCATATAAACGCTTGGTAAAGTTGTCTTGGGGGGGGGGGGGTGTTACGGTGTCCCTTATAAACAGCGTTGATGAGAGTTGAGAAGCGAGAATTTGAATGAGAGTTTTCTCAACCTTCATTTGTCATAAGGAGAACAAGAGTTGCCCGAGAGTTGAATGGATACTACTGCCTACGTAGCGAAAACTCTCTTCAACTCACTTGAACCAGTTCAGAGTTGATGAGAGTCGATGAGTGAGAAAAATATAGCGAGAGAGAAAAATATAGGTACTTTTAACCACAAACTGTGGCTGTAAAGGGTATGCCCAAAACAGGCGTACTTTATAACCATAAACCGTGGCTATTATATATATAAAGTATGCCGAAATTCGGCTCCCTTGATCCTTTATAGTCAAAAATATTGCTCCTCAAACGTTTCTTACAAATCCGTCAAAACTTAGAATTTACGTATGCAAAATTACTATACCGTCTAACAAACCGTGGTGATAAATGCATGGAATTTCGTATCACTTTCTCACTCCGGTACAGCATAAGCATCAATACATTTGAGGTTGACCCCCCCGTCAGATTCACTGCATAATGCCGTAGTGAAACCCAAGAATATAGAGAGATTTCATAGCTTGAAATAATGAAATGGTATAGTCATATCTGGTGACACCATGCATTTTTCTTATACACCAGATTTAGGAGCTGTAAAGTTCAACAATCGAGCATCAGAGATCTTGGACCCAGTTCCAGACCAGCTAATGTTTTCAAATCCATTGTACAACATTAACAGAGGTTTTGATGAAGAGAGTGATTTAAACATTGCTGTGAGCAGGTGCAACTGGGAAGTCTCAGACTGCTAACCATGGTAAATTAAGAGTGACGCAGCGAACTTGTCGTTTCAGGAAAAATAGAGGTGGCAATTGCTTCGTGAAACTTAGTCGTAATATTTTAGCACCGTTGTAAAATAACCAACTGTGATTGTACATTTTAATTTATAGTTTAATTTTTATTAACTTGACGTGGGTAGCTGGTATACCTAAATAAGAAAATGCATTGAAACTACTCAAAATGAATTAAAAAATAATATAAGGTTTCATCATAGACAGTCTGTCGGGATATGATGGTCTCGAAGCCAGGCAAACTTCAAAGCCACAAAATAGAAGACCTTTGTTTGATGTTAACTGTACACAAAATTCCTTTGTCTCAACTTCATTTTAAAATATTATTCATCGTGGTTGCACGTTTCATCTCAGCTATCTCTATTAAACATAATGCAAGGATTTTTGTTCAGTTTCCAGACCATCAATATCTTGATAGACTATCATGAGTCTAGACTTTTGTACAGTAGATAAAGTAGATATTCTTATTTGCAACAATGGTTACTATTTAATAAACAAAAATAGTAGGTAAATTAAAGATTAAATAAATAAAATATCATTCGTCCTATTTGTTCCTTGAAAAAAAGGAAGATAAAATTTTCAATGTGGAAAGCAATCTTACCAGCTTTGGGAAATTGGGAAGCTTTTGGCAAAGCATAGCTAGGAATTACTTTTCCCTCAAAAACTAATAATGTTTCTTATCAATTTGCTTTGGCGCCACACGTCTCCTGGACTCTGTCTTAATTGCCAAAATTGGTGAAAAACAATGAACCATGATTGGTCGATACAATTATTATTTTGAATTTTATTTTGCCGCCTTGTGGATAAGGAAATAATTCGTGACTGGATCGATCAATGTGGTTAACCAAAATCTTGTTTTGAAAAAACAAAATTTTTTAATGCTCGACTTGGGAAAACGTGCAAAATTTGAAGGCATTCAGGATTTAATCCAGAATGTCTCCAGGATCAGTCTTTTAATTGAAAGCAATGCACACTGAAAAAAAAACAATCAGAAAATATATCCAAAATTATATTTGAGAAAAGGTTTCACTTAATAAAAGAGTGAAGTATTCAGGACATTTATAGTCTACTGACTGACGTTATAACTTAATATAAACTTATAGTCTATCTCCACAAAACTGTGCTGTCTTAACAAATGACTATTTGTCGATTTTAATAGCTTCGACATATACAATCAAAATAGTTTTTTTCGGCTTGGCACATCTAATCAGACGGCGCTTTAATCGTCAAACGTTTAACCCAGGTGTGTTAATCAAAAATTGCTCATCAAAGTCTGCCGCACTTGTCAATATCCTTTCGATGGAAACAATGAAAACTTTCAAGTACGTGGCATTAAAATAATTTCGGGATATTTTGAAATTTATGCATCGACAAAAATCATCGATAAAAATCACGGACTGAGACAGTAAAATTGCGATTCTAATTCCTTACTGTATACCTCCTAGCCCCTTGGTATTGATCGATTTTTTTTGTTTTAAATATTCGAATGTACTTTTCAATTTAAATTTGTAGTAAATTAGAACGAATGATGACAAATTTAAATGTTACATATTTCGTTCAAATTTATTCATATCGGTCTTAAAATTCTGAATAATTTATGCTTTCCACTTGATAGCTTTTTAATCGGGACAGGTACTTATTTCCCAATGGTTTTAGCGGCAGATGTAACACAAAACTAATTGACCTTCGAAAGCTATAAATTTTTTTTTTAATATTTGCGCTCATCGTAAAAGATATTGTTCGATCTTTTAGTAGTAGAAAATTTTGTTAATTGGAATCGATCTTGCGTTATCGGACATGTGGATTTCTCTAAATTACCATAAATAAAGCTACATGATTGGGTATTGTGACGCATGTTCGGCTCGGGAATAGTATGAGAAACCAATTTATTCGCTGCCTTTTATATTATTTTTATCTTCGTATCAATTACCTATGTGCTGATTGAATTTGTTTCAGTATATGAAAAAAAAATACCTTGAGATTATTACAGCAACATGCTCTATATATTCTGCAGTAATTTTGAAAAAAAAATTCTATGTATATAATTTCTCGCTCTTTCATTATGACGTCACAATAGCGATTGTCTCTCGACCAATTAGAGGCGTCGTACTATCGGTCTCTTGTTTCCTTGCCGAGCTAGCAAAAACATTACACATTGCCGTGTTTGGAAATCATAAGCAAGCGATTAGTGATTTGTATTGAATCGTAAACGAAAAACAAAATGTTTCTGGAAGTTTTTTCGACGTGAGAGGCTTCGACTGGCTTCACCATGGCTCGTAGAGGCGAATTAGGCTGAGCAGAAAGCGCCTAAAAGTCCCGAGCGAGCGAATTCCAGAATGAAGGTATCTGTGGCGTGCGCTTGATGGCGAGTGTTGCTAGGTACACATTTGTGCCATCTATGATCCACGATCAGGACGATGTGTTTTTACAAGTTTTGGACGAGGATTCCGTTCTCACTGGGCTCCAAAATGAGACGAGTCCGACAAAAAGAACTTCAATTTTAGAGAGTCTGCGTATGTCCGTACGGCGTAGCGGCGGGCAACTTCACATTCAAGAAAGGTTTAGTTTGTTCAACGCTATTCATAACGTTTTACTAGACAACGACGTTAACACACGTTTAGCGTGTTTAAATCTTGTCTGCGAGGTCATACCGGACTTCGGGAGTACTTTAGACGAGTGTATGGCATTAATTTTGCCCCAGCTGGTAGTTTTTATTGGCCATAATCAAGTCTCTTTGAAGAAACTAGCCGTACAGACATTGCATGTCTACATGAAGCATTCAGAGCATTTGGAGAACGTTCTTAATGCTATAATCCAACTTGGACTCGAGAGCGAGAATATGGACACTCAAATGGAGAGCCTGATTGCTTTACCAATACTAATCACACCGAATTTTGCTGACGAAGACCTATTTTCATTGACCGAGGCATTGGTTAGACGGATTGCGGGCAATTCTGTAACCCATGCCAGTTCTGGCGCAGACACCACGTCCTTGGCAATGATTTCATTGGAGCGTATACAAAAGGTTGTCGGCAAGAGAAATTTTGAGAAGTATGTCCAAAAACTTCAACCGCGGTTACAGACGGTTTTAAATAAAGCTATGAAAGCGGTTGGGAACGATGGAGACAAGAGTAAGTCTAGAAAGAGTAAGAGTGCTGGGGTCCCAACCGAAGATGGCACTGCCGACCTTAAGATGGACCAAGCCAAACTAGACAGGGGTCTTACTATCGCAGACATAAGCAGTGAACATATTAGAAGTTACAATTCGGAAACACAGTATATACCAGCTGCGATTATGGCAAAACTAAAAGACGCAGATTGGCGGCTTAAAGAAATAGGAATTGACGAGTTGCGGGCTTGGCTTGGTAACGATAAGAATTTGATGCGGATGTTGCCTCGTTTAGAACATTTTCTCGGCGTTTTGAAGGAGTTGTTGAACGACTCTAATTTCAAAGTAAATCTGAGTTGTCTTCAGTTATTCGGGGCAATTATAGACAAGCTAGGGACGGAAATTGAACCTGTTCTTGAGCTGTTGGTTAACGTCCTAGGCAGTAAACTTGGCGATAATAAGAACGTTATGAAACAGACAAATATGCAAGTTTTTAAGAAACTAATGCAGAACATATCGCCGAAAAAAGTTCTCGGTATCCTAAAAGTTAACATTAAACATAGAAACTCAAGAGTACGAGAGGAAACACTAAATGTGATAATTGCGTCGCTCTTGACGTTTCCAAGCAACAAGTTTGACCTTCCTCAGCTAACGAGCGATGTTGCACCTGCATTGATCGACCCAAAGAGTCGTGTCAGGCATGCAGCGTTAGAAGCGTTCGCAGTCATATCTCAAGTAATGGGTCCGAGTAATCTGCAACCGTTGGTTTCAACTGTGGACAATATTGAACTACACATGGGAGGCGACGGCGTAATGGCCGCAGTCCAGGCAAGATTTGCTCGCCGACAACTGCCAAAGCTCAACTCGGATGGACTGGTTGAGTATGCGGTGCCTTTGTTTTCGTCAGGGTCTGCGAAAGTGAATGCAAATCTATCTCCTCGCGGAGCAGATGTCGAGTGGATCTTGGCAGGTGGAGTTTCGTCAGATTGTCCGTCGTCCGCAAGGTCTACGCCAGGTGTAAACGACTCTGCTTTGTCAAGCCCACGTCGACACTTGAGCGCGGGGAAGAACAGACTACCTTGGGAAAATGGCAAGTCAACAATGGACACAAATGAGGTATGTACATTTGGGATTTATTCATTAATTCATTAAACTTCAGCATTTCTAGTTGGGAACTTAGTAGCATGGATAACTTTCTGATGAAGGGCTTTTGCTGAAAATGTTGAAGTTTTTATTACTTGTATATTTCACATATTTGAATCCCTCTTAACCCATTGAGTGGCAGCACTCTCCCCCTGATGAGTAAAATCTTCTGGCGTTAGACAGAGTAAAATAATAAAGTAGGGTGCATCGGGGCGCATTGCTACTTAATGGGTTAACTGGCCTATCTGCTCATGCGTCTAGTTAACCCATTAAGTCGCGTTGCTATCTGATGTGCCCCACTTTATTATTTTATTCTGTCTATCACCAGATTATTTTAGTTTTTTACTCTGTCTAATGCCAGATGATTTTACTCATCAAGGGGAGAGTGCTGTTAATGGGTTAACTGACCTATCTGCTCATGTGTTTAGTTAACACATTGAGTTGCATTGCACCTAGATGCACCCCACTTTATTATTTTACTCTGTCTAACACCAGATTATTTTACTCTGTCTAATGTCAGATAGCATGATGCGGTTTCTACAAAAAAACAAAAACCTACCTGAAAAAACCGAGTGAACCGGGTTTTTTAAAAATACGTTCGAAAATCGAAACTATGGTAAAAAAGACACAACAGTAGCGACCGGTACTCAGTACTCACACAAGATAAACGTAAGGTATTTTGAAGACATTATAAAAAATTTTTCAAACAAAATTTCTTTAGTTTTTCATGTGTAAATGCCAAAACTTGATTAATTTGGAACAAACTCGTATAAGCATAAGTAACATCTAGTATTTCGGTTTTCAAAAAACATCTGGGTTTTTTTCGATTTACCGAAAAACCGCCTCACCCTAATGTCAGATTATTTTACTTTGTCTAATGCCAGATGATTTCACTCTTCAAAGGGGAGAGCGCTGGCGCTTAATGGGTTAATTAAAAAAGCTTTAGAAGGCTTAAGCATTTGATGTTTTTTGTCAACATTGACATAATGTTCAGCTTGATTTTGAATATGTGATATCTGTGAACTTGACAAAAAAATTGTGCACTTAAGTTCTTAAGTATTAAGCCCTGATGCACCCTACTTTATTATTTTACTTTATCTAACTCCGGATGATTTTAGGACTATTCCTTGTTTGATAACATGTTTTGTGTGTTCATAATGAGTCAAACTTGTGTATATTTTTGAATTTATTTTCAAGCCATAATAAAGTATTTGAATAATGACATTCATCCCACCTGCTGAGTTTGGATTGCTCATAAAATTTAATGACTGGCTGTCTGAAATTCAAGCTATTGTTTTATTTGTTCGGCTCAAAATTTAAGAAACTTAATGGGATTATTGTGTTTCCTAGCTTGTACAAATTTAATAAGTTTATGTACTTTCATATTTTTACTTTCATCTTCTTGGATGAGTAAAATTGTCTGGCATTAGGCAGAGTAAATAATAATTTTAAAAGTAGGGTGGTAGGGTTGAACAATATTTTAAGAATTTGCTGAATTGATATTGTGATTATCGTCTAGGATATTATCATGATATTTGTTAATCTTGCGATGACAATCCGAAAATTTGTCAACATGTAAATTTTGCAGCTTTGCCACTATTGCATTCACAGCTAAAATTTATACAATGATGAAAAACAAGGTTTATCATTTGCTTGTTTTAGTTAGATATTTACTTCAATTTGTTTGTTATAATTTAAGATATAAACTGATATATCTTGTTAGTTACTATTATTTTTTTACTGTATAGTATCTAGAATTGAAAATTGGTCATTTTTTCATTACATTTATTGCAATATTATTGAATTATTGTGATAATTCTGTGGACAATAATCATGATATGATTTTTTTAAATATTGCCTAAACCTAACTGCAAATTTGGATAGTCACAACAGCCTGAATTTGTAGAATACTGGCAATGTTGGACAACATTTTTAGTGATGTTTGTGATATCATGTTACTCTGAGTGTGTATCCACACCGGACTGGTTGAAAAGTTTGCCTAACTACGGTAGGAATCAAACCCACAACTTTTGGGATACTTGTCCAATCGGTTTGAGTGTGTAGTATTTTGGAACTAACGCCTGTATTCTAAAAGCTCACTCACACTCAATGAGTGAAGGTTCAATCTGAGCTTCTCTTCAGTGTCAATGCTGTTTTTGAATAGCTGGACGGTTAGTAGTCATATACAAAGGTACGATACCAACTCTTCAGCTATTCAAAAACAGCAATGACACTCGAGAGAATTAAGCTCAGATTGAACTTCCACTCATTGAGTGTGAGTGAGCTTTTAGAATACAGGCGTAAGTCTAGTACCTTCGATAGCAATGCGTTCAAATGATCATGATATTTTTTGTGTGTGTTTTGATGTGTGAGTTCGATTCCCACCGTGATCAGGCAAACTTTTCAGCTTGCCCGGTGTGGATATACACTCAGAGTATGTCAGAAACGTTATATTCACCTGATTACATAACACCAAAACACACACAAAAATATCATATCATAAGAACACATTGGTGTCGAAGGTACTAGACTTAGTTCCAAAATACCACACACTCGAACAGACTTGGCCTCGTAACTCAGTTGGCAGAGCATTGGACTAGTATCCCAAAAGTTGTGGGTTCGATTCCCACCATGGTCAGGCTAACGTTTCAGCTTGCCTGGTGTGGATGCACACTAAGAGTAACACCAGAAACATTATATTCACCTGAGTACGTAACATCAAAACACTCACAAAAAAATACCACATTCAAGATTTACAATTTTTTGTCTTTTTCACAGCACCATTCTCAGAAAATGAAAAACTCCTGGGCTTTTGAGGACCACCCACCTACTAAAAAAGACCCACCTTCCCATTCATCCTACGCAGTAAAATACAACGCCAGGAAAGCCTCAACAAACGGCAACACGTCAGAGTCGTCCAATCCTGTCACATCCTACGCCCAGCTTCATAAAAGCAAGTCGGCCAAAAGCCAGTCCCACTCAACGAAACCTGTGAAAGGTGGTGGTCTTGGCCCTATTGTCAATGGAGCGAATGGCTATTCCTTGATATACAAGAAAGGGAGTATTAGCAATCGAGCTACCCAAGGCATCGATTCTAATAATAATCTCAAAACGCCTCTCGTGCGGAATAATTCTGTCGGAGCTAAGTCACTCAGTCCGTTTGATTCCCATATGCCAAAGTCACCAGTGGCAAGGCGGAAGGCAAACAATATGGTTGGTTTGAAGAACAATGCTAGCCTGTCAGCGTCGCTTCCTGATTGGTCGGAATTATCCAATAGACAGAGGAAACTCTTGTCTCCTGTTTCATCAGGTATGTAATGTTGAAATTGGTAGAAAGGATTTTGGAAATATTGGAAAACAGCTGCAGAATTAGTGCTGTAGGTAAAACCTGGTTTTCATAGGGTTGTAAAGATTGAGTCACGATCTTTCTCATCAGCCGAAATACAACATTTTAGAACTGAAAATATGCAGAGTGATTATAACTAGAGAATATTTATGATTTATACGTGGTTTACAGGTATAAACTATTATAAACTGGCCGTTGAGAAAGATTGTGACTCTATTTTTACAACCAGATGAAAACCAGGTTTTAAAATGTTTAACATCGCTCGTGGCATGCTTCATAATTCATTAAGAGGCACGTTTTTTTCAATGTCGTGTATTTGTGACGAAAAGTGTTCAAAACCTAAAATGTTTTTGGCGTTCCTCTCAAAATTACTTTGTTTTAGATTTATTTTGTAGTTTACACAGTTAGCAATATATTTATACATATATTTATACAGCAATATGAACAAAAGTTATTGAACTTCAGACCTCGTTTTCTCTTTGGTGTATCATCTAAAATCTCTTCATTTTAGCATTATTTTACAGATAAAGCACTAAACATACTTTTTAAGTTTGTTTGCCGCTTGAGAAACGTATAAAAAATTTTAAAATTGAATATAGTCATAAACATGTGGGAAAGTATATTCATCAGTTCCCAGCTCGTGTTACGTGACATACAAAAGATTCTCCTCTTAAAATGTGAGACCGACCTTTTTAATTTTTGCAGGCCTATTTTAAAATGTTGACCTTTTAACACCATTTAACATATAAGATACATTTTGCATGCACATTTTGAAATTTGCTTTGCTCTTTATGAGCTCTGGCGCTAAGGCTTGCCTTCCTTTCAAAAGGAGTTAAAATTAAAATAGACTTTGCTCTTCAGAGTCCAAGCCGTTTTATCTTAGTTTATGTTTTGCGCTCTTTAATAGTATTAAAAAAAGATTGTTGGCTTTATTTTTAGGTTTGAATCGCGACGAGGATCACTCCAATTTGTCAAATGGTAATGCTAAAATATTGCTTGTTCATGCATAGGCTATCGCACTGCAC